CATTGCGTAGTTTTAAAGATCTAAGCATACATAGGGACAGACATACGGCAGACTTTGTTTTATATTACGTTGTGGCGTACACCATGATTTTTTTTTATTTTCGTCCCACGGCAAAACAATTTGCCATAAGGAGTACTTTTGATATTACGTATAAACAAAAAAAAGATGAGTATTATATAGTTTAAAAAAAGTCATGGAAATACGCACATGAAACACTAGACGTAAATTTGTAGGCACTATTTGCATCAAAAGTGCCACCAGTCGAGAAATACCTCTTCGAGAATTACATGGCGTGATATTTTGGTAATTACTATGAGTTCGTATGCGCTTTCGAAATTTGCATGTCACAAAATGGTTCACCAGCTATTTTCTTTCTTGAAGATTTTATTTCTTTTTAAAACTAGTGTATTACCAAGACAAAACCTTTTTACATCGGGACGAAAACGAAATAGATTTCACGGTGTATAAACACTAAGCAACTCTGCTTACCCCTAAATGTTAGAAACGAGAGGCATTACCTACCTTATTACTTCTAACATAAGAATGACAAGCTCGCAAAGTAGCACTGTAATGAAAAAATATTTCCTCTCCTGAATCAATGTCGAGTAAAAAACTTTTGCGAGTCGACCTCCTTTAGTTACACGTACCTACATAGTTCCGATAATATAGTCCAATAGTTGTCGTAACTAGTTGAGAAGGTAGATAACTAGGTTATCGTTGTTTTATTGATACTGGCCCCGTCTTTGGTCGTATGGCTGCAAATTGGTAAGCATACATAACATCACGCCTGTTTATCTCCGAAGCGGTAGGCAGAGGTGCCCATTTTGGCATTTAACTGTACAATGTAACACCATCTTTTCACTATTTATGTTATGAGTCCCATGTAGTAATGGGGGTGAGCCTATTATCACATACCGGTCACATTTCCAGACTCCGTGCTACTATTGTGATTTTTAAAAACCCAGTAATACCTACTTTGCCCGACTCGGGAATCGAACCCGAGACCATAACATAAGGTGAACATAAGGTGAACATTAGACTTCTCGACACGAAAGAGGGTTAATGTATTATTTACTAGCTGTGCCCGTGACTTCGTCCGCGTGGAATAGTGATTCGCAGCTCTTCCCCAGAAATGATAGCGTAATAACATGTAGCCTATTTATGTTGAAACGACCTGTTCGTAATATTCATGCAAAATTTAAAGTAAATCCATGCAGTTCTTTTTGAGTTCAACCCAGACATACATACAGACAAACATGCAAGAATTCTAAAAACCATATTGTTAGCTTCAATATTGATTGTAGATCACATTTTTAAAAGAATGATTGTGGCAAGCATTCTTTTAAAAAATAAAATAGGAAAGTGAAAACTGTACATTGAATGTACAGTTTTCACTTTCCTACCATTTGTTGTTGTGTTGTGTTGTTGTGTCCTAAAGTTCTACGCGAACAAAGTTACGGGCAACAGCTGGTACAAAATATAACTCCTGCAATTACTATTAAAAATATTGAAATTGTCTCGTATATCTCTTTCAAATTTCAACTCAAATTGGAAAATGAAACAAGCTTAACACAATAACCTTGGGAACAAAAGTTTAACAATTATTATCACCCGCCTCTAAATTTAACCGCGACAAGTTCTTAGTAGGGTTTCTAAAATGAAACCAAAACATAAACAAGATATTAATCTTTAGGCGAACATCCCTCGGAGTTAGTTGACACTTAAAATTATGAGTCACTTTAACTTTTCAGAGAGACTTTATATACCTATACTAGCGGACCCGACAGACGTTGTCCTGCATATAATATAATAATAGGTATACATAAATAACCTACATACCGACTGCAGCGCCATCTGCCGGGCTGATTTGTGAATCTAAACCATCCAGGGTGCCACACAAACGCGTACAGAAAAAATCATTTAAATCGGTCAAGCCATTTAGGAGTTGAATGACATACACGCGTACTGCAGAATTATATTATAGAGGTATATAAAGATAACCGGTATTACTGTTGTTTGCCGCGGACGAGACCACGGCGCCGATCACTTGAAAGATGCATGGACGACATCAGAGGACACGAAAGACTGAACTAATGTTAGCATCAGTTCAGTCTTTCGTGTTAGGCATAAGATCAAGAAGCCTGGAGGGAACTGAAGGAGGCTTATGTCCAGGAGTGGACAAATATCTAAAATGTTGATGATTGTGGACTTTTCTTTTAGTTCAAATACCAAGCATAAAGCCGTGAAATAGTATCGATATTCATATTTTTTATCTTAACTACCACTCTAGAAAACAAATGTAGTTTGAAAAAACTTGACTTAAGTAACATAAACTTACAATTTTACCTTTTAATGCTGTTTGTAAATATGTAACTGACACAGCACATACATCAACAGTCTATAAGTACTTACTGCTGAGCGAAGCTTCTTCGAACACGGAGAATGTTCGAGCATTAATCACCACACTTGCACATTGCAGGTTAGTGATTTAAAATTTGTAATAAGAAATTATAAGCCCATTCCTCACAATATCTTCGTTCACCGTTTGTCAGTGGTGTCTAAATAATCTTAGGAAGTACATATAACTCGGCAAAAGCCACATTAATACTTGCCGTTGCGTTGGTAGGTTTCGAACCCTCACCTTCAGGCCATCACAACACGAACATAAATAACTTAACATAACATCATTTAAATTCATGTAACTATATTTTTGAACTCCTCTTTTCCAGGAAAGACTTAAGTTAATTGTTACTTGATACTTAACAAAGTTATAACTTACAGCGCTTTTAAGAAGACTACGTCAGCGCTCCCTGTCGGTGGTCTTTTAAGATTTTCCACTACTTAAGTACTTATTACAAACTAGCTGACCTAGGAAACTTTATACGCGCTTGCACTGGATAAAATGATGAGGTAACTTCCACAAAATGTTTAAAAAGAGAATCCAGAGCATTTTTTTTTTATATTAATCTTTTAACTATACCTTCATACCTTTTTATAATTTTATATCTTCCTACATATCACCGTGATGTGGTATGGCGATATTGTCAGCGAATATAAGATTAGTCCATTTGTTAGTTTTGTTTTACATAAATCTTTTATGTAACTATGAGAAACCACAAAGGACCAAGAATACTACCCTGTGGTACACCATAACCGATAGTTGGTTCACCACTTATCCAGTCTTTAGCTTTAAATACTTGTGTTCTTCGTGCAAAGAGAATAAATTATGAGTCCTTCATTCGACAGTAACCTACAAAACAAATACTCTTGTATCTACTTGACGACAAATACATTATAATAATGTGTATGTAACTCTTGATAAATAAAACGTATTACGTTCTGCTGAAATGTAATTGTTATTTTTTAGGCTTAAGGTCGTATCTACCCGGAGCATGAACTTTGAACTCTCGGATACAAAGCACAATAATAACCGGTTTCATTTAAAAAGAAGGCCTCCAGCCCAAACAAAATTCTAAGAAATTATTTTCTCTATCATTATTCTGAATAACGTTGCCAACAGATTCTTTTTCTCAACAAGCTCTTTATATACAAAAGTAAAATTTTGGTTCAATTAATCCAATGAAATTGTCAAAGTAACAATGTCTATCAGTGTTAACACACATGTATACACTTTTAAAACATTAAAATATAAATTTCCATTAGTGAAACTCATTCTCCGTGTCGAGATTCGTGAGAGAAGAACGTACAAGCAACTTCATCGTTACTTTTATAAAGGAACGTACCTATATTTTACAGTCTCACTCAAACATTGTTTAATCTGATAGTGTACCCAATAAACCTAACCAGATCGATTTATTGCCCCCAGACACCCAAATACAAAACTTTAAGAAATTTGATGTAGCCGTTTCCCAGATCGTTGATATATAAACAACGAGACAAGTGAAACAAGTAAATTTATTTCTGCGAATAGGCTACAAGGCAGCACTTTTACACGTAAATTTTTCAAGCAAACGATGAGGTCGACATTTCCTAACTTACAACTCTATGAAGAAATGCCGAAACAAATTCAAAAGAAGCTCAACAAAAATTGCTTAAAGGTATTACAAATCTATGTAGATAATACCTTTAAGTTACAAGAAGATGGATGTATTTAAAACCAAATAACATTTAACTCATAAATATAATGTCTATCTAAAGACTCAAGAAAAATAGGTATGAAAGAATGAAACTATAAGATAAAATATGTAAGTATAACATTCTAAATATTTTCATGTGACTAAAATCACATTTCTTTATTTTCAGGTACCGTGAAACGCTGGCTAACAGTTTCAAGCGCCATTTAATTTAATAACGGTTCGATGCTTTTAGATGAAAATATTTCGGCCAGATACAGAGTATACCGTGGGCGTTAAAAATGACGGTTCAGAATATTTTGTCAAACAAAAATGCTTCAAAGCAAAATTTTGATTTATAAATTGAATGGATTATTTTACATCGACATTTTTCCAGATTTCCACAAAAAAAACATAGAATGTTTCTATGTTCATCAATAACGAACATTAATAACGTTGGTATTAGATAATAATTCAAAAAACACTCAGCTTTCCCAAAATGTTCACTCAAGTAACATGAAACTTCTTTCTGTCCTACAAAGTTACTATGATACGCCTGTGACACAGGAATATTCCTAGTATAGGCATAAAACTTTTAAGATCTTGTCGCTTAATTAAGATATTTTTGTACCTACGTTGACCAGTGTTATTATGAATACAATTTTTTTATGATACAGATTTTGATGCTCTATAAATTGTTAAATAATACAATAAAATTATGTAGACACAAATCTGGTACGCAATAAGTAACAGATAAAACAAAGGCAAATAAAAAATCGGAGAAAATTTTTACCACTCGAAACTTAATTACTCGAGCGCCACTTCTAATAGTACAAACCGCAATAATCACGAGAACGACAAACTGCTGAGACAAAATCAAAATATACAGACTCGGTGCCATTAAAACAATCAAACACAGTCACTCACCTCCAAAGGAATAACTCCACAAGTAACGCAGACATCAGCAAGCGCCAGATGTGTCATCATCAGATCCACTCGAGACTTCCTCCTCCTCGATCTGGCGAGGCTGACCAGCACAGCCACATTCCCCACTCCCCCCACAGCCAACAGGATCCCATAAATCACCAAAACTGGCCCCTGGTCCCTCAACACAGTCTCCGTTATATTAGTACTGGCGGTGGTAGCACCATCAAAATAATCCCAAAATTGTCGGTCAATCTCAGAAGTGGTGATTTGAAGAGTATCGTCCTCGTAATCATAGTTGTTTAGTAACATTGTGAGGTTTTACATGATAATGTACACTATTATAAGGTGTTAAAGTGGTTTTTATAACACTCACATTGACATAGCAATTTCAATTTTATTAAAGTTTTATAACTATAAAACTATGCATGAAACTTTGTCGTACGAACATAATATTAATAAACTATTTTATGGTAAAATATTCATTAACGAACCAAAAATATTTAATAAATTATAATAACTTCGGAAAAGTTCTTAACACTTCGTCGCACTTCGGACGCAGTCGCTATCGCAGTTCGAACGCGACTTGCCTACGCGGCTACGGAGCTACGACTGCCGCTACGAAGCTACGCCGTAGCGCTACATAAGTAAATATGAGTTGATAACACCGAGCAGATTTTATCAGTATTAAATTAATTCTCACTTTTGCTAACATTTGTGAAGTTCAACTTAACTTTGTTTATTGTGTATCTCTACGGAATGGACACTATGTCATAATTTTAATAATCTCAATTTTATCAAACTAGATTTTTAACTTGTGAAAGCAAGGGCCGTTGCAGTGTCATGATTTCAAAAGTTTAAAGACAATATTTAATAGATTCCTTTACGTACATTTTAATACACTACCTCTAAAATCATTTTCTTTGTTTGGTAATATAAAACAGGCTGTTCTTGAAAGCGATTAGGGTTCACATTTTTACAAGAATCAAAGTAAAAAGCGAAAGAAAACACGGGTAAAATATTAAAAACCTTACATTTCATGAAAAGGGAGAAGAAAGATTATAAATATTTTTACAAAAACATAAACACTGACTAGTTAGCCGACATGTTTAAAGATCCCTTCGCCTCAGAATTTGGGAAGACAAAACAAAACTTGCTAAACTGGTTCAGAACTCATAAGCATTCCATAACTTCACGGCTTTTAAACCCTGAAAGGGTTGGTAAAGGGGCACATAATATATACTATGTAATACCAACTTTTCACCAGTTATGTGATAAGTCTCATTAGAGGATGGTACTTATGTCATTCACTATTAACTCGTCGAGTACCGGTTTTGTAGACACAATTATAGAACAATAGGTTGCGGTCACCGGTGACCGCTTGGTGTTTGACAGTTTAAGACGGTAAACTAAATATTTCTTTTATATTTTACGTTTTAAAAACTGATCTTAACCCCTCTCTTGGTCGCGGAAAAACAAACGGGTTACCGAGGCTCCGGCTCGAAGCGCAGGAGAAGGAACGGGGTGGTTTTTAGTTTGTAGTCTGACACTCCCTCCCGCCTCACCCAGGCGGAAGCAGTCAATCGATTCTTCTCCATAGGAATGTACACCTTGGAATGACCTTTGTTGACGTTCAAAGGTGCCTTTCTGGTCTAATTGAAATAAATGACTTTGACTTTTGACTTTTTGACTTGACTTTTCACTTTTTATGTTTCCCGATAAAAAAACTTCTCTTTTGAAGTCCGTTAATTAATATACTAATGCCGGAATACTGAAACGTTACTCAATTTTAAGTCGTGCTTAAATATCGTGCTGTCTCTGTCATTTTACAAAGAATTTGTAGAGATGGAACTATACTTAAGCGTGACTTAAAATAGAGTAACGTTTCAGTATTCCGGCATAAAACGTTCTCCCATGTGTAACAAACTCTGAGAACCACATAAAAGTCGATTCAGCCAATCAAGAGATTATCGCGCACAAACATACATACATATATACAGGTCAGAGAAATTCCTTTTTAAGTCGGTTAGAAATACACATATTTCTTTGTCTTACACTAGAATCCAACCCAAGATGACTTCTTCGGTAGTCGCACTAGCAACAACTCGACCAATGAGACTGTCAAAAAGGTCATTATATAAAAACATAACATAACATAACGCCTTTTATCCCCGAAGGGGTTGGCAGAGGTGCACACAGAAGTAACACCCACTTTTCTCTATTAATGTTATGAGCCCTATCCCTATTAATGTAATAGGGACATTACATATTTACTGAATAAAAATTTAGCTACTTGATGATGAGCTGATATCGATATGGAGCCGCGGAAAACGTTAAAGGTTACCGGGGCTCCGGCTTGAAGTGCAGGAGTAGGAACGAATTGATTCTTAGTCTGTAAAAGTCTCCCGCCTCATCTAGGCGGGAGACGATATTCGATGATTTTTCCCCCTTAAAAAACCGTCGTCAACAGCCTGTTTTTGTCCACTGCTGGACATAAGCCTCTCCAATTTCACGCCACTGAGCTCGGTCTTCAGCTCTACGCATCCAACCACTACCAGCCACTTTACGTATATCGTCACTCCACCTAGCTGGAGGGCGCCCTACACTACATTTGCATTTGCTTTGCGTTCTTCGACAAATGTGACCGGCTTACTGCCACTTCAGTTACTGATCCTTTGGGTATAGATTTCATCGGCTGTATAGATAATCTGTCGAAACTCACCAAACAATACCGTATTTTAAACTAGATGGAGTTAAATACAATTTGTCGTTTTGGATACTACAGTATCCGAGGGCGTATGACGCTACTTTAATTTGGATACCGTACTATCCATGTACGTCAGAGTGGAATAATGACTTTGCAATCTTTTCAATGAAGAGCGCAACTTTGTTGATCGTGTAGGTCGGGTTGTGAACTCGACAGCCTAATATAGACTGTATTATTTATTGCCTTTAAGGTTATTTTCTTTTTCGATCTCTTTGGCTGGATTTTGGTGTTACATTGTTCTCGCACAATCAAACCAATAAAACTGTGTAACTGAAGAATTGTATTGTGAAACTGATTGGAAAAGAGTAACCTATGGAGTTTCTTGCTCGTTCTTCTCCATAGAATTCTACGCCTTGGAATGAGCAAATAGCTTCACTTTTAAATTTCTATTGCTGACGTTCAAAAGTGCCTTCCTGGTCTAATTTAAATAAATGATTTTGACTTTGACTTTAACTTGGACTTAGGGTCTAAAAATTTTCTCATTAGTCTCTTCTTGTCAAATAACAAATATCTTGGCTCGTTCTCACATGAGGCTCAGAACAAAGCGCCGGTGAAGTGTTTTAATGAACAAGTGAAACAAGTAAATTTATTTTAAAATAGGCTACAAGACAGCACTTTTACTTAGAAGAAATGCCGAAACAAACTCAGAGGTCCTTAATGTAGGTAGGTACATCTCTATCTATCGCATTGCAATAAAAATCGTGATGCTATAAAACACAATTTAAGTAGCCCGTTTATTAGTTTTTCTACAATCTATTAATGTCCCTAGCTACTACGACACCGATATTCGCCTGCAAGCAATTAACTAAGTTTGTCAGGATAATTTTATTAAGCGACCTGTCGTTTCATTAGTCTAACATTTGCTCAATCTTACCTTTTAATATTAGATGACATTCTCATACTTATTATATATAGGTCTAAAACAAACTGAATCCTTAGTAATTAACTGATCTTTTATGTTAAAACTGGGCTTTTTTTAAGGGGGGGAAAATCATCGAATGACTGCTCCCGCCTGGGTGAGGCGGAAGGGAGTGTCAGACTCTTACTGACTAAAAACCACCCCGTTTCTTCTCCTGCACGTCGAGCCGGAGCCCCGGTTACCCGTTGGGTGCTAATTTGGCTTGTCTGTTGTGTTTTTGAGTACCTAAATTTGTGCACAAAATATTAAATCATGTAATTGTGTACGTAGAAGAAAAATATAATTTTAATTTTCCAAAAATCTTTTTGTACATTTCTTATATTAACGCGAATTATTTCAGGTTTGTTCTATTTCCATTTTCCCGCAGCGACCTATATTTTCTTACGATCAAGTTAATATTAATCATTGTAGTAAAATGATAACATCACGCTTTTAATCCCCGAAGGGGTAGGCAGAGGTGCACATTACGACACTTTGTGCCACTGTACAATGTAACATCCACTTTCACTATTTATGTTATGAGTCCCATGTAATAGGGGGTGATCCTATTGCCATATACCGGGCACAATTCCTGATACCACTGAATTTAAAAAAAACCTTGCCCGGCAGTAGCACCTGCGACCCTGCCAACGAGGCAGTCATATACCCGTAGGTACAGATACAGACATAGGGACAGGCATATCGGTACTGTATCTAAATTATTGATACTATCATATTTAACGTAGACGCCGGTTATTTAATATTTAGTATTTGGTATCTTGTTACTTATGTCTAAATAATTAAACTGTATCTAGATATGTCTAAGTAAGACAGAGGTTCATTACAAGGGTTGAATTATAATACCAAAGTCTGTCGTGAATTCTAATTGACTTAGTTTGACATATTTGTTATTGAAATTTGAAACTAATGTTTATTGAAATCTAGGTTTGAAATTGATTCGAGTTGATTTTGTGACAAATATAAGTTGTACAGTTGGATTGTACCATAAATGTGCAAATTAATTACTTGTTACATTTTTTGTGTCAGTATCAGTACTGAGTCTGGAGTTATGCAAAACATGACAATTATACGTATAAGTTCAACCCTTATTGCTTGGGAATATGGGACCCGGTATTTAACTGATGAAGGTCGGGGGGCTAGCAACATTGTGCATGCGCACTACTGCCAAATAAGACAATAAAACGGTATTTAGGGTTCATACGCGCTATACGGGTAACCGCAATGCGGCTAGCCGTCCGGCTGACCGCAAGCACAATTATGTACGTACTAGCTTTTACCTGCGGCTTCGCTCGCATCGCAAAAGGGTAAAAAGTAGCCTATGTGATATATATATATCAATACACACAGCGCCATCTATACCAATAATTTCGTCTGCAAAATTTCAAAGCAATCGGTTTAGCAGTTACGGCGTGAAAGTGGAACAAACAAACAAACAAACAAACTCACTTTCTGATTTGTAATATTATTATATATATAGTTATATATATTATATATATATATTGTATTATATATTATATAGTAAGCATGAAGGTGCTTGCGGTCAGCCGGACGGCTAGACCCATAGTGCGTTGTTTTCAAAATTTTGTAATATAATACCTAGCTGAGTCTAACATTTGAGTTAAAAGCAGTCAAACAATTTAATGTATTTAAATTAAGGCTTTTGCACAATAGCACTTTTAATGGCTCTCAAATAAGATTAACACGTACATTCATGACGTGTTAAAAGGTATCTTTTAATATTTTATCATGAATTGGTAAGTTTTTGTGATAAAGTGAATTTTGTAAAACAATATAACACGTACATATAAAGTTAAGTAATGAAATATGAAATCTCTTTGTTTCAAATATCTAATACCAATTCTCAGAAAAGGGTGCTTCTTACATTTTACATCGTGTACGATAATGGGTTAGATAATATCTAGGGAACAATTTCTTATTACAAAATAATGAAATAAATCGTAGAATATTCTAGAAATATTATCAAATATCGTTCAATGCGTTCGTTCGTTCAGTTGAGTAAGTGAGAGAGTAGAGAGAGAGAGTAGAGAGTTCCAGTATAGCTGTTTAAACATAATGCCACAGCGACAGTAGCACCGCCGCCGCCTGCGCCTCGGTGCATTTCTACATACACAGACACAAATACAGGGAGGGACAGTTCCGCCTTGCTATTTTAAAATGTTATTGCTTAACCCGGCATAAATATCAAACCATATCTCATGAGTGAGCTGTGCGACGTCGCCGCGACCGCGCACGCTGCTCATGAGGAAGAACCCCTCTGTGGTTCGAAACTGGTAGAGAGCTTTTCTCAGTATATTCACGTGAGTAACCCGCATTTTTACTTAAACCATATCTCGTAAATTTGGGTTCGCTGCCATTGCAGCGGTAAGACCCCTCTTTGAGGAGTGGCTTGAGAGACGCTATGGCATCCTCACCTACAGCCTGACGTAGGTGCTTACCGGACATGGGACCCTCGTGAGCTACGTGTGTCTGATAGGGCGGCGCGATATCTGAAACGCCCGAGTGTCATCACTCTCATCACTGCGACGACCACTCTGAGGACACAGTGGAACACACGGTGAGGCCATGCCCTGCGTGGGCTGAGCACCGTCATACCTTCAGGGACATGATCGGCGACGGCGACCTCTCGCGTCCAGCCCTAGTCCGGGCCATGATGTGGAACGAGAAGGACTTGGATGACCGTCTCCTTCTAAGACAACATTAAAAGCATCGTAGCTTGGTGACGCGACCCGCGTTATCCCTTAGTCAGTGGGGCGTTTGATGTTTTTCGATTCCCTGCGCCAGGGCTAGCCCCGCCCACCACCCGTTTCATACGTCAATTCAACGGCATGGAGCGCGCCTAGAGAGCGTATCTCATCAGATGCAAGCAAAAACTTAGTGGTGGTCAGGCGGATGTGCCCCTCGCTGTATTACTATTGTGCTGCATTTTAATTTATAAAAAAATACTATATAATATTTTAAGGGGGGAAAATCATCGAATGACTGCTCCCGCCTGGGTGGAGCCCCGGCAACCCGTTAAGTCCTCCGTGGTTCCGTATCGGCATCAGCCCTATTGGGCCTCATCTATGGTGGTCTGATGGCTCATTAAGGCGCGCGCGGAACGCGACTCACCGTACACTCGAGATGCCTGTATGTTTAGATCTTTAATTTGTACAGATTTTGATGGGTTTCTTTATAGGATAGAGATATTAAAAAGAATGGTTTATAATTATATAAGTATTTTAAATAACATAGGCTTGTAAGGAAGGCTGTGGAAAGCTAGTTGTTACAAATAGTAGGTACATTATAATGTGCACTGATACTGTATACTACGCTTTCGGCGCTTCGATTGGCCTGCTGACCGCTCTGATGAACCGATTACCTTTAACATAAAGTAATTTCATACTAAGCCTTCTGTATTGGTCTCGTTGTGGTAATATGTAGGTACCTACATACTGATTTTATAATTTCTTTTTGTTTTTCATTTAACCTTACCATATATAGGTAAACACTATAGTTATAGTGTGTATGTGTGGTGTGTTAAGCGCCACACACACACACACACACCAACAGCCAATAAGTGCCCACTGCTGAGCAAAGCCTCTTCTCACACGGAGAAGGTTAGAGCATAAATCACCATCTTAGAAAGTACATATTATAACTCGGCAAAAATTACATTGGTACTTGCCGTTGGTAGGCTTCGCTTGCCCTCATAGAGGGCACAGGGCAGCATGACATGAAAAGCGGGCGAACTTAAACTTCGGGCCACCACGACTCTTTACACACACTACTACAACGCTATACCAATAATAATATTATTACTAACCTATATAAAAAATGTAGGCCCATGTACTACCCATTTACCAAATACAATACAATGTCTATACCTAAACACAGTCATTACGTACGGTCATTCACCTGTGAAGAGATAACGTACACGTGTTCCAATTGACTGATTTTTTTGTTTACAGGTATTTTTCCACATGGAATGCTTTTAATACTGGTTGTATGATGTTTTATTTTTTGACTAAAAAAAAAGGTTTGAAATAATAAATACTGTATTTTTATGGCTAGGTTAACCTATTTAAATATTTGAATTTGGAATTTGTGTTTAGCGGCGAGACTGCAAAGTACGTAATTTCAAGTTTTAATAGATAGATGGAGCTGGTTACCCACCATAGTGGACCCTAATAGAAGACACATTTTAAGTGTGGGAGAGCCATGCTTCGGCACGAATGGGCCGGCTCGACCGGAGTAAAACCACGGCCTCAAAGAAAACCGACGTGAAACAATCCTCAAATTCCCAATTCCCAAAAGGCCGGTAACGCACTTGTAACGCCTTGATGTTTCGGGTGTCCATGGGCGGCGCCGATTGCTTACCATCATTTGATCCAACAGCTCTTAAACCAGCTTATGCATTTAAAAAAAAAAGACGTTCTGTCTAGATGCCTCGTTGACCCTTTACCAAAATGAACACCTCTACTAATATCTGTCTGATTGTTTTATCTTTCATTTCAAACTATTTCACACTGAGTCCAGCTGCCATAAAGGCAATAAGTAAGTTATAAGTAACAATAACTTGTACTTTTAAAGTAGGTGCTGTGTTCATAATTACTAGAAAACTGTTTTTTTGTCATGCCCACGACAAATTACCCTGCTACCTACGTAACGACATTAAAGGTTAAACAAATAAAAACAAGAAATTTTCATTTGAAAAATTACAATCCTGTCATCTATTTTCAACTTAATAATTCCAGTGATAAAGTCTAAAATCTATTCACAGTTGGTTGTCTAAACAATACATTTTTATTTGTAAGTTACACGGAATTGTAATTGTGGGCAGCGGTTAACGTCGACCGGATTACAATAGCACGGACCATAAACAATGGTCATAATGTTGGCGAAGGGCGAAGGACGAATGCCTGAAGGTCTTATCCGAGGGCGGAAGTAGGTAACTTCAATGAAACGGACGCTCACAATAAATAAACTGTAGTTACAAAGGGACACGTTGACATTCGGACCTTTATAAAAAGAAGGAAATAATAGAAGTGTTATTTTTTTATGAAATTATAATTAATAAGTTGGTACAAGCACAACAAATAATTAAAACCTATGAGCTGTTTAAGAGCTGTTTTTTTTTCTTGGGTTGTACAAAGTTTTAATAAGTTTCTACTTCATCATCATCATCATCATCAACAGCCAACAATGCATACTGCTGAGCAAAGCCTCTTCTCACTCAGAGAAGGTTTGAATATTAATCACCACGCTTGCTCAATGCGGGTTGGCGATTACAAACCTATAATTACAAATTATAAGCCCAGGTTTCCTCACGATGTTTTTCCTTCACCGTTTGTCAGTGGTATCATGTATAAGAAGCAGGCGTCTTGAACCTCCGGGCCACCACGACATGAAATTTTACACAAAGAAGTTTCTACTTAGAAATCTTTAAATAATCTACATGCCAATGGGCTCAAAGGACGTGTACGATTCCTTAGTTTTGTGACCCGTGGTACACAAAAATTCGTAGACCTGAAGAAGTGTGGGTATGCCAACACCATTGCCAATAATCATAATGCAATTTGAAACTTAAGAAACGTAAGTATAATAATAGTAATATATATGTTACTTAAATATTAATTAAGTTATTTATTTATTATACTTGAGATGTTTAGCTTTATGAGAAAAAATAAAACATTTCCTTTTTTAAACGCCCTTGAGCGCAAAGTGGGTCACTTGCAATATCTGAATATAACGAAACGTAACTTTGACAGAACATTGGTTGTTCAACGTCAACAACTAACTGTCAATGTCATAAAAATGTACTAAAGATGCGATTTCACTGATTTTTTATTAGAAAAGTTTGGACGCAAACATTTAAATAAGAAGAAGTGTTTATTGTAGTGTTTAAAGTTTTATTTGGTCCAAAATGTCGGCAACGACATCTTACAATAACGATAAAGTAGTGATGGGTGAGGTGGAGTACCCGGCGAACGACCCAGCGTCTGGGGCGTTCTTCCAACCAGATTATAAGAAGTACATCAATGTTTTATATCTTTTAGTAACTGAAAACTATTTATTAATCACCCTATATTCATTTACTTTAACATTTTAAAGTCTAAAAGTTGTTTTCAAACGTTAATTCCTTGTCATGACTAAGATTCACAATCTTAACTTATTCCTAAAAATTACACAATAATTTACTACAAAATCATTTAGTTTCGTAAACAAGATATAATTTTGATTAACTACTGGTTATTTAAAGACATGCTGTAATGTGAAACATATTATTTTTGTGTTTTAGAAATGAGGACCTGAAAGTGATGTTAGATGGGTCCAAAGACTCTCTGAAACTGGAGGCTATGAAGAGGATCATTGGTATGATTGCCAAGGGAAGAGATGCTTCAGACCTGTGAGTATTGTAACAATAAATATCCATCCATATTACTTGATATTGCAAATAGGTAAATGAAATAAGTATTCATAACTTTTAAATACTAGTTTAGTTTATTATTTCATTAACCCGTTGAAAATTGTTGTCATCATCAATCATCCCCTAAATTTGTTCATACAAAAGTAGTCTCTAAGTATTAGAAATAAGGTCTTAGTGGAGAGTGGTCACCGGTGACTGCTTAGGGATATATGGGTTAGTATTGCAGTATTTTATGATATGCAATTCTATTTAATGACACAAAATGTATTAACTAACTACAAGTTATTGAGATAAATATACTAGAATAGCTTTAATAGTTTAGAGTTGAGTCATGCTTTGTTCAGTAATTTATGTAACTCGTACTTTTTAGTTAAACAAGCATGTCTCACGATAGTGTTACAAAGTATGTCTGTATCACAATGAAGATAGCTAATTTTTTTAAACTTGTTGAACAACTTCTAAATCAAACCAACCAACTGATGAAATAATATTTGTCAACAATACTCGCTAATTTACCGAATAATCCTTACTAATATTATAAATCGGAAAGTGAGTTTGTTTGTTTGTTTGTTCTGCTTTCACGCCGTAACCACTTAACCGATTGCTTTGAATTTTTGTAGATGTAAAGTTAGAAGTCCGGATTAAATAATAGGATACTTTTTATCCCGGGAAAAATTTAAAGTTCCCGAGGGAAAACAAAAGAGTTGGTATAGATGGCGCTGTGTGTATTGGTATATGTCACGAGCGAAGCCGCGGGTAAAAGCTAGTAGTCAATAATTTCCAAATTTGTCCAGATTTCCAGCAGTAGTAAAGAATGTGGTATCTAAGAACATAGAGGTGAAGAAGCTGGTCTATGTATACCTGGTGAGGTATGCAGAGGAGCAACAGGACCTGGCTCTATTGTCCATCAGCACCTTCCAGAGAGCTCTGAAGGTAATCAGCATCCTGCTTGTACATTGTGGTTAATTAAAGTGGTGGAAAATGCAATGGGGGCTACCATATTTTTACCAAGCAGATTGTGCAGTTGTTGGAAGAAATTTTTTTGACCAATCACAGCAGCTGTCAAATATTAAACGGCCAATGGTGTGACACTAGCTCATTCCCTATTGGACAAATAACAAGAGGTACTAGTGCCACCTGGTGAGCAAGAATATGGTAGGCCCCATTGCTAGGCAAAGGGTTTTGGACTCTGTTCCAAGTCACACAGAGTAGTTTTAAGGTTGTTTCAGTTCTTGTTAACTTGTGAACATAACTGGTGAGAATAATTTTTTTTTTTTTTTTTTAGAAACATTGCCCCACACTAGGATTTTCTCCTGTGTCGTGGGTGCGTTTACAAACATACACGTTCACATACACATGACACCCAGACCCGGAACAACAATTTGTGGATCACACTAAGTGTTGTTCCGTGCGGGAATCGAACCCGCGGCACGCTGCACGGCAGCCGGTTGCCCAGCCACCGCACCAACCGTGCAGTCATAATAATGATAATAATTAATTTTAATTTGCATAGCTATGGAATTTGATGGAAGATATCTTCCTTGACTTGCACTGAAAACTATTTGCATGGTTGGTGCGGTGGTTGGGCAACTGGCTGCCACACAACATGTCACAGATTTGATTCCCGCACGGAACAACTCATTGTGTGATCCACAAATTGTTGTTCCAGGTCTCGGTGTCATGTGCATGTGAACTTGTATGTTTGTAAATGCACCAGGAGAAAATCCTAGTATGAAGCAACATTTAAAAAAAAATTGGAATATTTTTATGTGTTTTATATGTTATTCACATAAATGTTATACTTTTAGGACCCAAACCAGTTGATCCGTGCCAGTGCTCTCCGAGTGCTCTCATCAATCCGCGTGCCAATGATAGTGCCTATAGTGATGCTGGCCATCAGAGACTCTGCCAGCGACATGTCGCCTTATGTTAGGAAGACTGCTGCTCATGCTATACCCAAGTTGTATAGGTAGGTAACATCAAATTAATTAATTCCTGAACAGAATTATAACCTCTTTTAGATATACTTTACATCAGTAATGTTTTAGGACGGTTTTCTTAATTATCAATAAAGCATAATATGTGCCACTTAGTGGTAAGCGGACACCACAAGTATTACTTTTTTTTTTTAAGTGGGGAAAATTATTGTCACGTTTGATTTTTCCAACGCCGGATAAATTTTAACTGAGGAATAACTTTGAATATTTGTCAATTCTTCCATACAAAATTATTAATGTTATGGACATCTAATAATTTTGAATTAATCATATTGAATAACGAATTTTTAATATCTAAGTTGTCCCTAGTTCCGATTTGCAAGTACCTAATATTTCTACACCAGCAATGGTAGTATGTGTATGTGTGAAGTTTATGTTAGGTCTCTGTACCATATACTAAGAAATAAATATTCTATCCTAAAAATTATCATATACAATTTAGTTATGTATTACATTTAACAACTTACAAGACTTTTTAGGTACTTCTTTTTGTTATGGAATGTTTGCGAAAGCTCGCTGCTTATAATTATCGTTCTCTTTTTTCCACACAGCTTGGATCCTGAACAAAAAGAAGAGTTGGTTTCAATAATAGACAAGTTACTGTCAGATAAAGCGCCGCTCGTCGTCGGCTCAGCGGCCATGGCGTTCTCAGAGGTGTGTGGGGAGCGTATGAGTCTCATACATAGGAGTTACAGGTAAATAAATTATTTGAATTGGGATGATGATAGGGTATGAAAATTAAAAATCTAATTAGTTCGTAAGTTAGGTAATGAAAAAAATTTGACACGTATTTTTTTATTTTGTCTTATAATAAAACAATACTTAGATAAAACGAATCAAAGTTTAGAAGTGGGGGCTTAAACTTCATTTCTATGTATAAAATGTACATAGAAGTGACGTCAAATCAATATATCATCGAAATTATTCGTTTCTATAAGAAAATAAAAAATATGTGTGTAATGATTTAAAATAATGTACCAGACGGACGTTAAAATAAAAATTATGCATCTACCCTATTAATTGCGATTTTTTTTATTTGGAAAGTTTCTTATTTATATATAAGGGTCAACTTATAAGCCAAAAATAGCACCAACATTAGCTATTATTCATAAACATTTATGGTCACACCAATAGTCGACCTTTTTACATAAAATATAAGTTTGTTTTTGTAAAAACAGGAAACTCTGCTCCTTATTAGCTGATGTCGACGAATGGGGGCAGTTGACGTTGCTCAACGTGCTTACCGTATATGCCAAGACATGCTTCGCGGACCCTAACAGTGAGGTAAGTAAAGTTCATCATTCATATAGGAATATAGTATGTTTAATCTTTTAATAACTTTGGAATGAGCGAATAGTTTCACAATTAAAGGGCATTGACTAAAATTGGTGCCTTTCTTTTTTCTGGCGGCAGTCGATGATTTATGGAAAATATTATCTAGAAAGACATTACAAACGAAATTGTCTATGGGCTCATATATGGAAATCTCAGTCTGGACTGAGTTATGAGCGTTGAAAGGAGCTGGAGTCAACCGTTTTACTTTGGTTTTTTTATTCAAATTATTCATATTTTGTCACAATTCCTAATTTCAAATTACGCGCCACTGTACGGCGGGCACAGGAACACCATATCACACCACAATATAGTCATATTGCCAGGCACTAATTTTTATTACCTATTTTCTCTCAGTTGATAACTTGTGAGATGCTTCTAGGAGTTGTGTCATGAAGCTTCATGAGCGTCAGCTGTGAAACCAGTGGTGGGTTGAGTATTGGTAGCCGTCCAAACATCTAATAAAGTATTATTTTTTTTGCCGTTGACTCTTGGTGGGAGACTTTTCTACTTTATAGTTAGCATAATCTTTTGAAGAAAGGAAACCGTCGACTTTTTAAAGTGATGGACGTCAGATGAACGAACACTTTTTTCATATAATGTGATCAGTCGAAATAATATAATCCATCACTTTACAATGGTTACAATTACAATGGTCCTCCAGAAGTACTCGAGCGACAGCGACACGGACAAGCCGTTCTACGAGTCGGACAGTTCGTGCGCGGGGCGCGGGTCCCCGGCCAGCCTGGACGCCGACCTGCGCCTGCTGCTGCGCGCCGCCAAGCCGCTGCTGCAGAGCAGGAACGCAGGCGTCGTGCTCGCCGTCGCGCAGCTCTTCTACCACTGCGGACCGGGTACGAGACGCTACGAGGGCTAATTATAAACGCTCGTATCTCAATAAACGAGCTTAAATCACTGATTTGCGCTCCTGATTATACTTTTTACTGTCCACAATAACAAGATTCCATTACAATTTTATTAGTTGTTTAACTTCACTATTGAATGCACAAAATCATATTCTGCACTAGCGCCATCTAGTAAGCGCAAAATTACTTTAATTGTAATGACCTCGTGTTTATTTTTTAAAACTTTTTTTCAACAATCTAATCTAACCAACTATCGTCAGAGGTTCTGACATTGAAATTAAACCTATTATGTATGGGAAAGCTATTCTTTGGCACGAATGGGCCGGCTCGACTGGAGTGATACCACGTCCTCACAGAAAACCGACGTGAAACAACGCTTGCATTGCGTTTCGCCTGTCAGTGAGGTTACCGGAGGCCCAATTACCTCGCCCCCTTTCCCAACCTCTGAATCCCCAACAATCCTTAAATTCCTAATCCCAAAAGGCCGGTAACGCACTTGTAACGACCTGTAATTTTGCTTACTGTCGCATAAAAAAATATTTGGAGCCAATTTAATAGTTTAACATGTCTTATAAACCACACTTGTATTTTAAATCAAAGAAACTAAGTTTGAAGTAAAAAGAAGAAAATTCTTATAAAAATGCTTACTGACTTAATATGTAATTCTAGCTCAAGAGTTGCCCCCAGTCGCCAAGGCAATGGTTCGACTTCTGCGCGCGCCACTGGAAGTACAGAGTGTCGTACTCAACTCTATAGCTGCGCTTACTGTTACTAGGAGGGTAAGTTTATAAACAAAAATAAACCTTATGTGCTATGTAATAAAAAGGTTTTTAAAATCAATTACAATAAAGGATGATGACAGGGTATGAAAATTAAAAATGTAATTAGTCCATCAGTTAGGTAGTAAAAAAAAATTAGATACGTATTTTTTTATTTTGATTTATAATAAAATGATACTTATATAAAACGAATTAAAGTTTAGAAGTGGGGGCTAAAACGTCATTTCTACGTATAAAATGTACATAGAAGTGACGTCACGCGATATTTCAAATCAATATATCGTCGAAAGTCGTCGTGTGTAATGTTTTAAAATAATCTACCAGACAGATTAGTCATGTACCCTATTTGAAACGTAACAATTTCTTCCACAGGCACTCTTCGAACCATTCTTAAAATCATTCTTCGTGCGCAACTCGGACCCGACTCATATCAAACTACTAAAATTGGAGATTCTAACCAATTTAGCTACAGAAGCAAGTGCTGGGGTGATACTACGGGAATTCCAAACGTACGTTACTTGTAGTGACAAAGCATTCGCCGGGGCAACTATACAGGCTATAGGAAGACTTGCCGTTGCCATACATTCAGAAACTGAAACCTGTTTGAATGGATTACTTCATTTACTGTCGAGTAAAGACGGTGAGTTTTCGTGAATTTTCTAATAAGTTTTTGTAATTGCAGTTTTTGAGTAATTGTAATGTTGTACCAGCTATTCCTGCTATACCTGCTATACCTGCTTACAAAAACTTCTTTACTAGTTTTTGTCAGATTATATATAAGCCGAAGATTATATATAAGCCGGTAAACGAGCAGACGGATCACCTGATGGTTAGCAATCGGCGCCGCACGTGGATATCCGGAACATTAGAGGGGTTACAAGTGTGTTACCGACCTTTCGGGAATTGTTGGGGATTTGAGGATTGAGGAGAGGGTAATTGAGCCTCCGATGACTTTACTCACACAACGCAATTACTGATGTATTACGATGTGTACTGTGTTTACTTGTATAAAAAATTGAAATTAATGCTAATAATGAATGTTTAGGGCACTTTAATATATCATTAGTTTATCTTGTTGTTAAAGTCAAGCTGTAAGCTAGTTTTATTTTGAACTTTTACTCATTTTAACTCTGCTACTGAAACTATGATGCTTTACACCAAATAGCATATCATAGTCTATTTCGTTCAGTATTCAGTTGGTAATAAATAAGTATTTATTGTCCAGAATGGGTGGTATGCGAGGCAGTGGTGGTAGTGAAGCGAGTAGTGGGTGGCGGGGCCACGTCGGCGCGGGCGGCCGTGGCGCGGGCCGCTAAACTACTGCGCTCCGACAGGTTAGTTGTTTCGCCAATTACCTTATTTTGTCATTACATAATAGCATTGGACCCAATATTGAACCCTGTGGTACACCAGTATTTTACTGTAAGCTAAGTTACCTTGTTAATAAAATTGCGTTGGACATAAAGTTGAACCCTGTGGAACACTGATGTCAAGTCTACTGGGTAAAGTTTTTTTTATAAAAATATACTATTAATTATTATACAGTAAAGAATTGTTGTTTTTCTATGTGAATGTATTAATCACTTCATTCAATTTTACGTTCAATCACTGTACAATAACTTTATCGAAAGCTCATTTTGTACTGTAAAATATATATAAAAATAATTGAATGAAATGGTTGTCCCCGTAGACTGGGCGGCGCGGCGCGCGCGGCGGGCGTGTGGCTGGTGGCGGAGCACGGCGCCCGCCACGCGCGCGCCGCCGCCGTGCTGGCGCACATGGCGCGCTCCTTCGCAGACCAGGTACCACCTGAACCTATTCACATTATTCTTACTTTTCACGTCTATTTTTCTTTAATAATTACACTTTGGCTAAGGACTTACGGCGCGATTTGCTCCCACGCCCGCCGCGGCTGCGCACACGCATCCGTTGTAGAATACAAATACGTATATCAAAAATCAAAGCAATTTTCACGGCACACTGCTTTCTGAGAATCAATGTTTCCGGAAAAAGCTGTTTCTATAGACGATGTTTATGTAAAAAATGCTATCTATGAACAGAATTATCTATCACCAGTGCTTTCTATGGAACGACATATCTACGAATAGTATTTTCTACCAACAAAGTTTTCGGCAAAACGAGCTGTCTAGGAATAAAGATTTCTATGGCTAGTGCTTTCTATGGAACGAGTTATCTACGAACAATATTTTCTACCAATGAAGTTTTCGGCGAAACGTACTTTCTGAGAATAGAGATTTCTATGAGCCATGCTTTCTGCATCCAGTAGTGTCGTACAAACGTGATTCTATATTACGTTCCACACTCCTATAAAACAGTTTTAAGATGATTAACAATTAGCATCCATCCAAATTTTCGATCACACAAAATTCAACGCAAACTAAACCTTATCTACATAACTACAAAACCCAATTTTCCTTACAGGACGAGCTAGTAAAACTACAATTACTATCTCTAGCAGTAAAACTGTCAATAACCCAACCGGACACGTTACCAATGTGTCGATACGTTGTCTCTCTCGCACGGTATGACGTCAGCTATGACGTCAGAGACCGCGCGCGAATGCTTCGTCGGTTCATTGAACCCCAGGCCGGCAAACAATTGAATAATTATGTCGCTGAAATATTCTTGCCTGAAAAACCGAAGCCTGATATTCAGAGCAGTTTTAAAGGTGAGTTTTTGTACTGTATTTTAAATATTTTTAATAGTTATTAATGGCGCTAACATAGCAACATTTTCATAGTAAGTAATAGACGTATTGGTCTTTGGTACTTTTATAAACTGATTACTAAACTTGACTGCAAATTCGGCAACTGTTTGGCGAGGAAGTCGACTATACTATACGAGGAATAATGACGAATCACAGCGCGACAGTCGCTGCGTCGCGGATTTCGAAATGCTGTTCATGAATATGAGCCTCTAGTATGGCTTGATTCTAGTCGAGTTCCTCGTCAAATAGTTTCGTGAGTAACCCGGAAACATAATTATTAATTTAGTATGTTTCACGAAAGTTTTAAATTAAGTATAATATTGTATCGAGATTATTTTGCCCAAAAATAAAAGGAAATCAATTATTTATTATACTCGATAAGGTACCTGTAATAACAATCTCAAATCAACATCTTTGAAATGGGTACGGCCTAAATCGCTGCGATATGGAATAAAATAGGTTATTGTAAGTTAAAATTGAAGGTACTACATCAAACAGTCACTTAGAACAGTTAAGGGTCAAATGTAAATTACCAGGTGGAATTACACGGTAGGCTCCCTGTCCCAGTACATAGGCACGGCGGCGGCCGGCTACAGGCCGCTGCATATGTTACTAACTGACACCGTGTATTATCCCCAGACCGCGGTACGTTCACGTTAGGCTCCCTGTCCCAGTACATAGGCACGGCGGCGGCCGGCTACAGGCCGCTGCCGCCCGCGCCGCGCGCTACTGTCGCCGCGCAGCTCAGGGAAGTGTCCACCGGGAACCTTGATACACACGTCGATAACCATGATGATACACAGGTGAGAAAACTATATTTAACAATATTATTATTTCCTTTATACCCCGATAGAAATAAAAAGATAAGAAATCATATTTTTTGTTCTAAAATTCTTGATCTGCACTAAAATTGGGACCTGTTCAAGATTACCCTTAGTCAACAATAACAATATCTTATTTTCAAGAAACTATTCCTTTTCTTCTGAGCCTCGAGCCATCTTCTGCTTTATTTCGTTGCCGAATCCAAAGCTTTTATACCTGCAACGTTCCGGACATCATTGTTTCGGTATTTTCCTGTGTGTATTACAAATTATGATGCAGAAAAATTGTTGAGAAGCTGTGGCGGGGGTATCCCAATACATAAGGAAAGTTAACTTCAAACATAAATGTTGACAGAAAAACAAGAGTTTCTACTCGGAGCCGGAGAGCAGTGGGTCAGGATCTGGTTCCTCCTCCTCCAGCAGTAGCAGCTCCGAGGACTCTTCTGAAGAGTGAGTAACTTAAATATGTATTTGTATCAGAAGACCAATACTTTAGCGGTAGATGCGACTACCTCTTTTTAGCCTCAGGCTTTAGTAAGAGTTTGTTTTACGTTTAAAATAATCGTAACGAGTACGCATTCGGCGCTCTGATTGGTTGGTTCATTGGCGCCGGCCAATCAGAGTGCCGAACGTACGCTTTAGTCCTCAGGCCTCAGATATATAGTACACAATGGTGTTCAATATACCTAATGTAAAGACGCATTGAACGAATAACTCGTTAATTCTATATTGTGTCTTTTTATACATTTTTCCTTCTTAGGGAAGAGAGCAACGCAGATGAGAAGAAACAAGAGAAACCAGCGAAGGAAACGAATAACTATAGGTGAGCTTTATTTATTTTACTTAACGTATTTTTATGTCCGATAGATGATAGTTCCTGATGTCAAATGCCGGTTTTAATTGCGCCATCATTTTCGGTGAACCATCCGCCCCGAAAACGATGACGCAATCAGAGTGATATTTCAAAGTATTTATTTCAAGTAATCTTTAAATACCCACTTTTGAAATGTCAAAATTGACCGTCTAGCTGATCGTCCGTCAGCAAAGATGACCATAGTAACCACGGAATATAGAATACAATGGAAGTAGCTTGAAACAATATTTCTGCCAGAACCGGTGTCGCCAAACTAATACATTTATAATTTACTCATACTATACATCGGAAATTACGATTGGTTAGAAAAAAAATGGGCGTAAACGAAATGCAAAAAAAATATCATACGATATGCAACTTTAAAACCAATGCACTATAAATCAAAATAAAAAAGTATATTTTTGGTCTTTTCTTTTCGTCGCTAGATGGCATTGTTAAACGCCATCTAGCGACGAATGGCGGTACTTGGTTTGAACTTTAACGTTGTAAGAATAAAGGTGATATTTAAATGGCTTATCACTGGCTCGAATGCGGGTATCTACTCAGATAGTGATGTAGCCTAATTCGATAAAAATAATATCGATAATATGAAAATGTGTTTTAAAAATAATATGAAAAAAAATATTGACTGCTATAGTGTGACAGTATTAAAATAATAAAATTAATATATCGTTGATAACTTTTTAAACGTGACAAAAAAGGGTAAGTATTTACTTACATGTAAATCAAAAACCATTTTGTTCGTATTTTTTATTAGTTTCTTTTTTCAAAAAATCATTTTTTTTTTTGTTTCACATAGGCAATATAAGTAACAACTATTACATAAATTTTTACAAACTTTATATGAATAATGTGATAAATGAGAGGGATGGCGATAAGGATGTCTGCTCCGTGAAGTGGAGCAGATCAGCACCGTCATTGCTTGCAATCACGCCGGGGTCACCACTAAAATAATAGTAAAAAAATAATCTAAATAAATGTTACATTACACTTGCATCGATATCAATCGATAAATTCAATATGTGATTTGACTACATCACTATTTGAATAGCGTAGAACTGGCGAGAATATTCTATTGAATGGAATAAATCCAAAATAAACTTTATCTTGAAGGCGTATGGTTGATTTTGACTAACCGTTTTAGTAAATAATATTATTTTAATAACTGTTTTTGTAAATTGAAATAAAATAAGATTTCTACAAGAAAACAATGAAAATTGTACTTACCGATGATACGGAACACCTCCATTTTTACGATTTTTCGGCTGCTATCATTTTTACACGCCAAAACGGAACAAAACGGCATAGTTGAGGAAATATGTATTTGTCACGAGACTAGCGACTCGACGCGATGTTCGAACGAGACTGAACTCAAATTTGCCTCGAGTAAGCAGTACACAGCTTAGTAGTGGCACGCGTGCCACGCCTACTTGCTACTTCCATTGTATTCTATATTCCGTGATTGTAACCCCTCGCGCGTCTCGTACACGAGCTTAATAAACCATTCTGTTCAATCAAATATAGAACGGGTTGTAACTTGAAAATATACATCACAGAAAAAGTTTCCAATCGGTGCAAGTCAGTCTCGTACACCCGTGTGTACAAGAAACGCGCGAGAGGGTAATGTAATTGCCAAAATGTAGATTTGCATTGAAAAGAACGACCAAGAAATTCCAACGTACCTGTGATATCTTACTAACCTATGAAACGCGAGCAAAATCACTGACAAAGCCTTACATCGTAGGTCAAGGTCATCGAACTCGGGCACATCGGATAGTGAATCGGACAGCGATTCGGAAAGCGGATCGGACAGCGAATCTGGCGGCTCGTCCGAATCGGCAGACAGCAGTGAGGATGAGACTCCTAAGAAAAACGAAGTTAGTCGCGACAAAAGGGTATGTGAAGTTGACATGTTGTTGTAGGTGGAGGAATCTAGGCTTTATTTCTTTTGGTATAAGGTATTTTTTCTGTTAGTGTGTGAGTGTATTCATGTTTGGCCTCCAGATAAATACTGTTAAAAAGTTTATTCCCAGTAACATACAGTCTAATATTTACCCGAAGTTGAACAATATTTCGCTTACTACAAAAAGTAATTAAATAACTAGCGAAATGTGGACAAGTTTTCGTACATTACATGTCTGCTTTTACCTCTTTCGGAATTAGAGGCGTGATATAATCGTATCTTAATTACCTAACATTTTGGGTCACTCGATAAAAAACATAAAATAGATTTCAGGTTATTTATTTATTGTTCTTTCATAATCCCTATTAAATAAAAAGGACTATAATAACTATGTCGTGGTGGCCCGGAGGTTTAAGACGCCCACTTCTCATGCATGAGGGTGCGGGTTCGAGACCTACCAACGGCAAGTACCAATGTGACTTTTTCCGAGTTATATGTACTTTCTAAGATTATTTAGACACCACTGACAAACGGTGAAGGAAAAACATCGTGAGGAAACCTGGACTTCTAATTTCTAATTATAAGTTTGAAATCACCAACCCGCATTGAGCAAGCGTGGTGATTAACGCTCTAACCTTCTCCGTGTGAGAAGAGGCTTTGCTCAGCAGTGGGCATTTATAGGCTGTTGATGATGATGATGATGATAATAACTAAAAATCGCGGGTTACTCACGTTAATATACTGAGAAAAGCTTTACTAGTTTCGAACCACAGAGGGGTTCTTTCTCATGAGCAGTGTGCGCGGTCGCGGCGATATGGCGCAACCTACCTAGTAAGCCGCGATTTTTAGTTAATATAGTATGTCTCACGATAGTCATTATAACAACAGGACTATAGTAGTTGTGTTTAGACATTATGGTCTAGTTTTGTGTAGTCTGGGTACATTTGTTATATATTATGGACTTAGTTGTTTATTTATGTTTATGTAGTTTATTTAGTTATAATAATTTATTGTAGAAATAAATTGCTTTATGGTGTATTATTTGGTTTTTATTTCTTACCTTTTTTGTAGTATATTTTTATTTATTTCGTTTTATATTTATTGTATATTTCTTTTTGTTAATTTAATGTTCTATGTGTTTCATTTTTTGTACAATATAAAAGAAAAATCATCTTTCTGCTTTGATTCAGTCATGACTTTCTCTCAAATATTTTCAACCTTATCCTGTTGTAGTTAAGTTTGAAAATCTGTCGAGATTTTAGCGGAAATAATTTATACATACTTTGTAATAGATTGTGGTCAAACGTCAGCCCATTCGATTTAATCTTCATTACTATTATTTCAATCTTTTAGCAAAACGCTCAACCACCACCGCCGAAAGAGGAACCGAAGAAAAACGAGAAATCAAACTTGGAACTTTTGTTAGAGTTAGACGAGGTAGCGAGCTCGTTACCCACTATGACGCCCACTTGTGGGGGATTCTTGTCACCACCCAGCTTAGCACCACAGGGGAGTGGGGATGGTGAGTACAGTTACATTTAACTTTCATATTTACATGATAATGAATACGGTATTTTACAACTAATCAAATTCAATACTTTTATTGAAACGTAATAAACGATATTGTTCTATGAATTTTGTACCAAAAACTAGCTTATGACGTCATCATATTTTCGAATCAAATAGGACACTTATTTCTGAAAAAATTTATAGAATAAATCGAAAATTAAGTGTGTCGTCAAATATATGAATGAAATTGTAATTATTTAATTGGATTGAAAAAACAAAATAATTTATTTTTGACTCAGGAAAATACCCAATTAATAGTTTTCGTTCCCGTAAGTAATACTGTTAAGCAAAAAGGTTACGTTAATACTACTGAATTAATTCCAATTTTATTTGATGTCGATAATACGAAAAAACATCACGATTTCATAGTCTTATACTTATGTACAATATGTTATAGAACATTATTTTTTTAGCATTTCGTTTCTTATTAACCGATCTGAAAGTCGTTGGGGGGGATCTATGATACTTACTATTTTTTATTACACATTAATTTTGCTGGTATGTCTACATTCCACAAAACGAGCCTGTATTCCCCACGACTGATGTCCCCCGTCCAGCGGACTGTATAACTCCGGTGGGTCCGTCGCTGTCCCCGACGGCGGCGGCGGAGGTGGTGTCCCGCGCGGTGTGGGGCGGGGTGTCCGCGCGCGCGCGGTGGAGCCGCGCCCCGCACCTGTACTCGCCCGCCATGTGCGCGCTCCACCTCGTCTTCACCAACCACAGCAACAACGAGGTCACTAATATCAGGATGCATAAGAAGGTATGCTCAATCAACTTGTTGGTTTTAAAGAATCACTGTAATTGCATGTCTAAGATAGATAGATAGATAGATAGATTCATTTATTTGCCTGAAATATGGTGGTTTACAGATTTTATGACATAACATTAGTTCATCATATCTCGCCTATAAATTTGGCATGCAAATACATACTTCAATAAAACTAAATCACAATTTTCAAAAATGATTCTAAGTTAGAACAAACAATCTAAACACAACCCTTGCTAATGATTCCAAATCAAAACAAGACAAACTAAGTTACAATTTCCAATAATCAATAATGACTCCAATTCAAAACAAAATAAAAATAAACTGTTGAATATCAATAATTAAAAAGCGGAGAAATTGAAATAATTAATAAATTAAATTCACAAATTGAAATCCAGAGTTATTAAGTTAAAAATGTCAAATACAAAAATTTTAGGCTTCAATGAATAAATTACAATGTCAATAGAACAATAATAATCACATTTCAGATGTCAATAAACCAATTAACAATGTCAAAAATTAAAAAAAAAAAGACGTACAAATTCAAATGTCAGGTAATATGTCTAAAAAAAAAACAAAATTCTTCATTCATGTTTCCTATTTGTCCCTGCATTCACAAACTCTTTAACAGTATAAAAGCAATTTTCAAGAAGCCATACTTTGAGATGCCTTCGAAATAGGCGGAATGTAATTGTAGTTAGTTTATTAAGCAATTTGTTGAACATCGGAACAAAATCAGTGCTAGGAACCAAATGCTAACTAAGCAATAATTAATAGACCAAATAGAAAAGTCAAAGTTAATTATTATCTTTTCAGCTTGCTCACGTAACTGTTTGACTAATAACTATACACAAATAGGGTAATTTTCTAAATTTTATTTTAATGTCCGTCTGGTAGATTAATTTCAAACATTAGACACGTATTTTTCCTTTTCTCGCAAAATTGAATACTTTCGACGATATATTAATTTGAAATGTCGTGTGACGTCACAACGTGCTATATTTTGTAACACGTTATGACGTAACAAACTCCTAAACTTAACGACATTTTATCTAAGTATTGTTTTATTAAACGACAAAATAAAAAAATACGTGTCTAATATTTTTTCATTACCTAACTTACGGACTAATTAGATTATTAATTTTCATACCCTGTCAACTACCCTTATTTATCTTAAACTGTCAAACACCAAGCGGTCACCGGTGACCGCAACCTATTGTTCTATAATTGTGTCTATAATGACGGTACTCGACGAGTTAAACTTGAGTGGCGTTTGAATATTTGGACAATAATAATTATGACACTGTAACATTAGTTACCTTCTTACCCTACAGACGCTGACAGGTTCCCGCAACATCCACGACTTCTCCCCCATACAGATGTTGGTACCCAACGCCTCCATCACCGTCATGCTCGGCGTAGACTTCGCAGACACTATACAACCCATCGAGTTTACTATCAACAGCTCAATAGGTATGTTACTGTTTTATTATTACTTCTTGAGTCATAATCGAAGCTTAAATCTATACTAGCGACCCGCCCCGGCTTCGCACGGGTGCAATATGCATGTATTATACATATAAACCTTCCTTAAACTGTCAAACACCAAGCGGTCACCGGTGACCGCAACCTATTGTTCTATAATTGTGTCTACAAAACCGGTACTCGACGAGTTAAGAATCACACTATCTATTAAAAAAAACTGCATCAAAATCCGTTACGTAGTTTTAAAGATCTAAGCAATACATAGGGACAGACAGACGGTGGATAGCGACTTTGTTTTATACTAATAGTGATGTATGATGAAATATGATATTTCCACACCGATACGACCTGAATCTTCAAGAAAAGACCGTCGACCTGAATCTTCAAGAAAAGACCGTCGACCTGAATCTTCAAGAAAAGACCGTCTTACAAGCTGGCATCGTACTTATAACGTCTCTAGTTTTGCAGGTATCCATGGGCGAGACGGATCGTTTACAAACAGAAGTTTTTTAAATATTAAATAGCTGACCTGGCAAACTTTGTACTGACTAAAATCTTTTTTCTCCTTTTAATCCTTCCCTAAACTTCTCACGAACATTTCAAGATCAAAATCAACCAAATCGGTTCAGCCGTTCTAAAGTTATAGCGAGACTAACGAATGGAAATTCATTTTTATTTATATAGATTTATAAAGATTAATTGACTGTTACAGGTGAAGTGCCAATATCAATTACTCCCCCGGTGGGAGAACTGATGCGAGCAGTGACTATGTCGCAGACGCGGTGGGACTCCGAACACAAGAAGCTTAGAGGGATGACTGAGGTACGTGTACATGCACTATAACAGGGCAGTCCAAACAAAGGCCTCATTATCAATTAATCTCAACAACTTCATCTTATGTGCACCAACAATAATAAAATTCACTGTATGGATTGTATACAAGTTTTGTCTGTGAGTAAAGAATACAATGTTAAACGTCATTATAATACTGAAAACATTTTTCTCGCCCTCCAGCTTTTGTAATAAATTTAATTAACCCGCGAGGGATATAGTTTGGAGACCCCTGCTCTATAATATCATTATTATCATCATTTTAATGTTAAACGAAAATAAAACGTTAAAACTAATATAAATTGTGTCGGCGCGAGCATTAAAATTCAAAATTAACTAAAAATCGCAAGTTACTCACGTGAATACACTGAGAAAAGCTCTACTAGTTTCGAAACACAGAGGGGTTCTTCCACTGAGCAGCGTGCGCGGTCGCGGCGATATCACAGAGCCTACTGGTTTTTAGTAAATTTAGTATGTCTCAAGATAGTTATTACTAAAATTCAATATCCTATCCTACTAATTGTTGAAAGTCGGTGAGGATGTATGTGACTGTGTGTTTGTTATTCTTTAAAACGACTGAAGGGATCGAGATGTAATTTGGTACAGAGGTACATTATGGTCTTAACTAACATATGGACCACTTTTTATACCATGGGGACGCAGGGGATGCCGCTGGCAGAAGCTAATCTTATACTATTATATAAAGCGATTGTTTTTTGCTTGCTAATCTCTGTTACTACAAGCCTGATGTCAATAATTCTTTTTGTGTTGGATAGCGCATTTATCGAGGATGGCTATAGTCTATAAAACATCACGCTACGACCAATAGGAGCTGAGCAGAGCGTGTGAAACCGCGCGGAAGTAGCTAGTGATTTTATATATAGACTCCTTTTCATTGCAGTGTGACAAGAAAGCTGTGAAAGTAGAAGACGAACAACTAATTTGTAAGCGAGTCTTCGAGACTGCCAACGTCGCTGCCATCACTTCTACTGGAGACTTCCTAAGGTAACATTATGTTTACAAAAATTCTACTGACTTGATTCAACTGTGAAAGACCCCAAACACATGGATAAGATTTTCATTCAAGTTAAGCGTGTCCGGTTAGATTACTTTTGACTTAACACGTTGACTGTGCAGCTATGATGAGCGAGGCTACCCCCATAAGTAATTTATTTATGTATGTATATCTCCGAAATATATTAGTTTATCTTTCATTGTTAAATAAAATCACTGCTTGCCTCTTGCACCTACCATTTACTCTTCTCTGCATCACCCAAAGGTCAGACTGGTAGAAAATGCCTGCGGCATTAAGTCCACCTTTTTGTACATTTTGTGCATGAAGCATATTAAATAAATAAATAAGTGTAAATGCAAATTTTTGATAATATGCTGCGTGAGTTCACACAACTGATAATAGGATAGCATTGTTTTATTTTTTTATACCCCCTTCGTATAAATAATATTTTTATTTATTGACCCACCCGTGGGTGGGTACCCACACGTATGATTTTGTAAATGTAAGTCCTATCCGTGTGACATGCACGTATAATCTCGTAAAGGTATGCCCCACCGATGGGTCATGCACGTACAATGAGCAACTCGATATGCCCCACCCGTGGGTCATGCACAGTGAACGTGTTTTGCCTCTTGCCCGCGACTTGATCGCGTAGAATATGAATTTTAGAACATAACATTTTTTTGTTTCAATTTTCCTAAATAAAAGTAGATTATGTTACTTCTTAGTACATCAGCTACTTGCCAATTAAAGTCTTGCGAACTCGGTCTATTCATTTCAGAAATTAGGCTGTACAAACAGACAGACAGACAAAAATTGTAAAATATGTTACTTTGGTATGTGTATTGTATGTATATTCATATACATATAGTAAAAAGTGGTTATTTTTTTTTTTTTTTAAACGTTGCCCCACACTAGGATTTTCTCCTGTGTCGTGGGTGCGTTTACAAACATACAAGTTCACATACACAATGACACCCAGACCCGAAACAACAATTTGTGGATTACACAAAGTGTTGTTCCATGCGGGAATCGAACCCGCGACACGTTGCACGGCAGCCGATTGCCCAGCCACCGCACCAACCGTGCAGTCAAATTTTATATTATTAAAATATTACAAACAGACACTTCACTTTTATTTATCAGTAAGTACGAAGAGTAAGATTCACAGTGAAAATGTATTGTAAACCCACTTTTGCAAGTAAAGGCTCTAAAGGGCAGCTTGTCTCTAAAATGATGATGTTATTGAAATCTATTAAACTCTATCCCATAGGTTCGCAGGTCGTATGATGTCCTCCCAAGACCTGGTCCTCCTGTCAGTGAGGAGTGAGGAGACTCACTCTAGGGTCACTGCCAACTGCCCCAACATGGCCATCGCATCACTACTTGCCAATGAAGTCGCTCAAGCACTAGGAAGGACCTAAATAAATAGACCTCTTTATATTGCTCATCGGAACTAACAAGTAAAAAAATAATATTGATAAATCATTAATATACCTATGGTAATTTTACCATTTTCGAGCGCGCCCGATTACTTTCGAGCTCAATTAGAGCCCAAGTGACCGGATATGTTAATGTCATAATGTTATCTTTATTTAGTAAAAGTATGTTCTATCTCGAATGTATAAAATGTTCTGTAAAGGATTTTTCTATGGCCTCATATATGAAAAAATTAAGGAAGTAGATATATTATTGAGTCTGTAATTACTTGAAAAACAAATTTTAATAGACATATCCTAAGGATTTGAACTGAATCTTGCAGTGAATTTATGGGCACTGCCTCTTTGAGCCTTAAACGAAAGATCTTATGTACGAATTCCAGCTTAGAAATAAAGCCGGCAATCTCACCCCTATTACAAGGGACTTTTTAACCTGTAAAAAGTAAATGCTACATTTGATATGTGCACAGTGCCTACTCCATTCGGGAACAAAGCTTGATATTTTAATTAAAATCGCGGGTTACTCACGTGAATATACTGAGAAAAGCTCAACTAGTTTCGTCGTCGCCGCGACGTCGAGCAGCTAATGAGAAAGAACCTCTCTGTGGTTCGAAACTAGTAGAGCTTTTCTTAGTATATTCACGTGAGTAACCCGCGATTTTAGTTATATTAGCTTAATATTTTGTTGAACTAAGATTCTTTATCATTGTATTCACCCGAGACATAATAATATACTTAATTTTACCACCTAATTAAAGTTTCAACAAGTACTTAGTTCATTCCATTTCTTATTTTTATTCTTTTCTAGTCATACGACTGCCGTTAGCTAAAGTCTATCTTAAGAAATCTGACTTCAAAACAAATATATGAAAAAATATAGAATTTATAAAAAATAGTGATGCAATTATAGTCTATTTCTATAGAAATAAGGTAGATAATTGAATCCTTCCTGTCTGCTAAGTCTAAGTACTTATATATTAAATACTATGTTATAAATAAACTATACTGAAATAAATATCTTTGTACTTCTATAGCTGAAGTTTATTTTACCTATTTATTATCCCTGTAAGTTCATTCGTTAATCATCATCAACAGCCTATAAATGCCCACTGCTGAGCAAAGCCTCTTCTCACACGGAGAAGGTTTGAGCATTAATCACCACTCTTGCTCAATGCGGGTTGGCGAATTCAAACTCATAATTAGAAATTATAAGCCCAGGTTTCCTCACGATGTTTTCCTTCACCGTTTGTCAGTGGTGTCTAGATAATCTTAGAAAGTACATATAACTCTGAAAAGTCACATTGGTACTTGCCGTTGGTAGGTTTCGAACCCGCACCCTCGTGCATGAGAAGCATCTTAAACCTCCGGGCCCTGTAGGTTAACAAGTTTGAATTCGATTTCCAGGTAGGACAAGGTAATAGGAAATTCCTTTCATAAAACTATTTTTTAACCTTTTGTACGCTAGTAGGCTTTAGCGGACAAACAAAATATGACGTGATCCGTCAGTCGCATTTTGTCGTCGGCAGCCGACAAGAAAACATGATATTATGTACAGTCAAATGGCAAAAGTCCACTGCCACCGTGAGTGATGTTCACAGTCACACGGCAATGCGTAAGTAATTTCATATTAATGTGCATAAACACGCGTGCGTGCGCACAACACACGCATGCGTACGCACACAGATACAAATATGTGTGTGTATGTGTGTATAAGCGCTGCAGCGCAACCGATAGTAGTCTTACGCTAGCAGTGGACTTTTCCGTGGACCGTACATTTAGTTTGTCAAAAGGTTAAAGTAGTTTTTGACTGTCGGTAGACAAGAGTTTAATGCAAATCTAACAAGGCCCATGGGTACCAATTGGGTATATGACAACTAGTCAAATTCAATACTTTTTTCGAACTGTCAAAAACGACGGTTTTCTATGAATTGTATTCGAGATTGTATGTATAGTGACGTCACGTTTTTTTAGCGTCAAACAGAATACTTATTTCTTAAAATGTTGCTGGAAATTACTAAAATTAAGTTGGCCATAAAATCAATAAATGTGATTATTTTTCAATACCTATTTTATTGTATTGAACAGTCGAACTCGAAATAATCCAATTATGCCGTGCTTAACTTGAGATGTTAGTTACACTAATCAGTCGGAACAAATACGTCTGATTTATTCTGAAGTACCAGGAATTCATATAACACAGTAGGTGTTATAAAGTGCATAGAGAATGTTTTTATAATAACTATCGTGAGACATACTAAATTAAGTAAAAACGCGGGTTACTCACGTACTCACTGCATAGAGAATATAATTGAATAAATGACCTTTTTTACTCTTGTTACTCCAGAGCCGAAAGCCATATTTCATACTAGGTCGAGAGAATGTTACAAAAATAAAAGCCAGTTTATGTACAGAGCATGTATTTCTCTTACACACTAACAATATATTCGTTTGAGATTCCAATTCTCCTTACATCTACATTTTACAGTATTCAAGGTCATACTAGCCGAATTTTACCAGCCCGCAGTACCTGTGTTCTGTTAAAACACTATTTTTCAGTTTGTTTCAGAAAATTTCTTTTTAATCTAAAGTAAATAAAAGACGTGATTCATACTTGAAGCTTATTTGGCACCAATGGTATTCAATTATTTTATACGCAACAACGCCTGAGAGCAAAGAAACGGCGCCACTAGCGTTTTTCATTTTATCGAGCATTCTATAACTTAAATAAAGTTCCATTTAGAATTTTGAACGTAACTAAATTTTTTTTTATGCGACATTCGTGACCTATTAATGTAATTTGAAAAGCCTTTACTTTGTTGCTACTATCAGTGCGTCAGTGTAGGGGTGCCCACTGAATATTAGTGCTGGGTGACTCGTACGCCTGGCTTACCCTAAGCGGGTAACACATTTAGCATAGGCATGTTGTTAGCGTCTTTATTGATTCTTCTGTTTTAATTACTTTTAACTCAATGTTTATCTTGCTTCCACTGTCACACTTTTATTGTCTTTTTTATATTTTATTTATGCTGCATCGTGCCTAGTGCTGAATAAATGTTTATTTTTTCTTTTCAAAGAAATGAAAATTAAAAAAAAAACGCTAGTGGCTGTTTCTTTACTTCCAAGTGTATTAGACGAGGTAACTTGACTAGTTTCAAGCCACACCAGGGGCTCATAGTCATGAAGCACTGCGCGATAACCGACGGAATACTTATTAAGCAGTATATAAACTTACAGTCATTGCACTGATACTGGGGAAGAAATTCGACTAGTAGGTACTAATATGTCTTTTAAAAAATAATCGTATAAATATAAATACGTAACTAGCTTAAAAAAAACATAATGATCGAGGATAATAGAAATACGATTGCAACATAATATACTAAATACTACGCGATATCTCCCCAGAATTGTGGCAAACGAAATATAAAAATTAAATAAATAGTTCGAACATAATATTATGAATACATGTCAAAAAATGTAAGAGGAAACTGATGATATTACATATTTTCTACAAAACAATAATTTAGGGTCAACTGCGCCTATAGCGGTTGAAACCATGCGTTAATACTTATGATAAAATATAAAAAATATGATTTAATAACTACACAAAGGATGTGTCAGATCTTTTGACGATTTATTCTTATTTACTGCACCACAAAATTCATAAGTCTTAGGAATCTATAAAATTTACATCAATAAAACCATAATCTCAATCAATAAACAGTTTTTTACAATAATTGTGCGTGACTATTGGCCAATAACGTCATATTTTACGTCAACTTACATTTTTAAACGTCTTAAAATAATAAAAACTAATAAATAACCAATTTTATAATATTAAATGACACAAACAGTCACAAAATAGTTTATTTTCAATGAGGAACCATTATACCAATTGAGAATTTGTAAAAATATGTGCAACGTAATGCAAAAAAAGAATTAAATTACATTTTATAAAAAGGTTTAAATCAAAACCTAGCTGCTACCGAAAACGTGGTAATATCAAAAGAGAACTCCATTTTATCAATATGATTTAACTAAAAATCACGAGTTACTCATGTAAATATATTGAGAAAAGCTCTACTAGTTTCGAACCACAGAGGGACTCTTCCTCGTGAGCAGCGTGCGCGGTAGTAGCGAGAGATGTCGCGCAGCCTACTGACCTACTGAAACTAGTAAATCTTTTCTCAGTATATTTACTTGAACAACTCGTCATTTTTAGTTAATTCAGCATATCTCACGATAGTCATATAAACATTATCAATCTCATTCAATTTCAGTAACGAAAATAGGAATATTTGATCCCGATGCGGGATTTGGCGTCCATTAGAGTTATACAGTTCTTGTGACGCAATAACATGGAAGACTGACCACTGACACACTATCAATGTTGAGGGTAATGACCCCAGCCGGGAGGCATACCTAAACTGTAAGTAGGAGTAGTCATTGGAATGATCCGAGGCCTCTTACTCATGTCCTCGTGATGTGGTTGGTGCATCTGTTGCTGCTGGTGATGATGCTGCTGCGGGGGTGGCTGCGGAGGCTGGTGATTCTCCATTATCCTATCCTTCTTCGACATCCTCTTCTTAGGAGCCCCACATTCCGGCACAATACGACGCTCATTCCACAATCTTTCCACTAAAGCCGCGCGCGCCTGAATACCGTTAGCGTACTCAACTTGCTTTCTAGGTATGGGGCCGTTGGCTACCTTCTGTTTCATGGCTTCTAGTCGTTCTTCAGCTTGAGTCATAGGCACTGGGGGAATGCCACGCCGGTTGCATATGTTATGTAGAATGCAACACGCTACGATCATCATGGCGACAGTAGGAGGGTCAAATTGCTTGTTACAGTTAGCTTGAAGACATTTCCATCTACTTTTTAATTGTTTTATGGTGTCAGTGACCGCGCTGTGTGCCTGTGTGTGCACGTTTGAGTAGTATTTCTCCGGTGACACGGGCGATTTCTTTGTTATTTTCGGTATAGGTGTCATTATGTATTGCTTCTGTGTATAGTATGGGCCTCCTGGAATTTATAACATACATTGTAAGGCTTGAAGGATTTTTACGCCACCACAATTAAGAAAGTAATTTGAGTAATTTGGAATGAAATTGCATGTAAATACAATTGGCGTATACATATAAATATCAGAGTGTAAATTGAGTGCATATTAGGAAAAAAATTAGTCAATAAGTTAAATTACGATTTCTATTTTCATTTAAATCCAACTTTAAGAATTCATTTTCATAAGATAAAAAATTGTGTTAACTTATATTAATTATATCTCACCAATAAGCCAGCATGGTTCCCCGGAGTTGTTCAAGGACTCGAGGTCGACCCTGACAGCGTGTCTGTTGAGCACGTTGTCGTGGGAGTACGAGCCGCCCGCCGTCGCGTCCACGCTTATTATTGTTAGGTCACTATCACAGATCTGTAGAGAAAATTAACAGTATTATGACGTATCTAATCTATATAAATAAAAATGAATTGTTGTTCGTTAGTCTCGCTAAAACTCGAGAATGGCTCAACCGATTTGGCTAATTTTGGTCTTGAAATGTTCGTGGAAGTCCAGGGAAGGTTTAAAAGGTGAGAAAAATATTTTTAAGGCGGTACGAAGTTTGCCGGGTCAGCTAGTTTTGAATAAAAATATTGTTTTAACTTGGGACAAACATAATCTTAGACAATGTTGATTTCATTAACTAAAAACCGCGATTTACTCACGAGTAAATACACGCGGCGAATCAGTAGGCTGCGCGACATCGCCGCGACCGAGCACGCTGCTCATGAGTAAGAACCCCTCTGTGGTTCGAAACTAGCAGAGCTTTTCTCAGTATATTCACGTGAGTAACCAGCGGTATTTAGTTAATTTAGTATGTCTCACGATAGTTATTATAAAAACAAAAAAGAGGCTGGTACATTTTGAAAAAAAAACAGTCACTCTTGCAATTGAACTGTAATAAGTTGCAAAATTCTATACTAAGTTCATAGAGAACTTATTAGGTGTAGATTTGACAGTTGTGGATCCTGATTTAAT